ATCAAAAACTTTTCAATGCTGTAGTTTTCCCAACACTTGAATGAATTGATTTTGCTTTAAAAGTTATTCACCGCTTTGTGAACATTATATTGTGCTAACAATTCTCAAACCTATGCAAAAATATAGTATTTTCAATAACTGCAATAATATTCAAATCTATTGTTTTTGGAAATTTGAATATTTTTTAAATATACATCAAATGACAGACAAGAAGTACTTATTGTTTTGATGTAATATTTGTAGTACTTAATATAAAATTTTGATGATTGTGTCAATTGTTAAAACTATTAGAGCTTTAAATATAAATAACACGTTGTTTCGTATTTTCCGACACTTAATGCATATAAATTAGACACAAATGAATAACAATCTATTAATTTCATTGGAGTGTAAATTTGAATTTAGAAACAATTAAATTATAACATATAATCTGAAGGCAATCCTTGGTTAATAGATACTAATTAAGTTCTCGCAGAAGTGTTGTACCCATTAAATAAGCCTAGATCACTATTATATTATCACCCTTTGGTTCTATTGATTTTTTATGTAATTTTTGTGACAAATATTATGTGTTTAACAATAACTCTCAATACAATTAAACAAATTGTTTGAAAGCCTATTGAATATCCTATGATCTGTTGATTACTCACTCGACATAACACGTATACAGTAGTCATTTAAACACAATTTCATAACAATATCCCAATTATTTTAAGTAATTCAGTCTCTCAGACACTAATTAACACTAAAATTGTATAAAAACTAAAACAATATTCAAACTAAAAAAGTTTTAACTAATAATCCGCGATATATTTGTATTATTATTATAAAAACTCAATGATTTATAGCGTTTATATGAAACCAATTCTAAAGGGATTTATCAAAGAAAATATCATTGAATTATATGAGCCCTCGATCTCTATCTTTATCTTTGTATAAGTGTTTGAAAACTTGAAATAAATATAAAAATAATAACAATAATAATACCCGTAATAACGATAAGACCGACTATTTTTATAACATTTCTTTATTGTTTTTACAAAAAAATATATAAAATGTCAGTTTATGTCAACTATTGATAAAAACAAAGCAAAGAATTCAATGACAATACGAATTGGTTTCAAAAAACTTATTATTTTATTGAAAAAATATTTTCTTAAGACATTGTATTGTGGAAGAAGTGGAAGAATGTATGATCACATTGTGTGCAGTATTTCAATGAAATTATACCATAATTGATTAATAGTGAGAACCATAATAGTAGTTGTGAGAACCATAATTGTCACTAAATATAGCCAATTGTTTGATTAAAAAAATTATTTCAATGAAAATTGTAAACTATAAGCGCTTAAAACACTTGAAGATAATATGAATGTATGGTTGCGTTCGTGTAATCTATTCATATTAACTAATTTTATGGATAAATATAATTCAATAACTGTATAATCTTGCGATAATCGTAAGATTAAATTATAAAGTAACATGATTGAATTTCATTTAAAATGAATATTCATTAAAACTACTGTATATGCAAAATTAATTGCGATTGTGATTAAATCTTTTGATGCCTAAAGTGTTTCCCATATTCTCAACAATTTTTACAAAATGCAAGTTTAGTCACAATTCTATCCATTTTTTAAATTATACGTTTAAATCAATCATTTATCCAAACATTTCATTCATTCGATATAATGCTAATAATTATATCTATTATCCAATGGTTAAGGAAGTGATTGACAATTATCTCACACTTTGGACACAAGAATATGATATCTGAATACAGTATGAAACCAATGGATGCATCAATTGTTGGCCACAAAAGTAGTGTTGCATTGAATGTGAGTTTCACTCAACAGATGGCAAACAATAGACCAAACATTCACTCAAACAGTGATCACAATATTATTGTTCATTACTTTTTGAACCACCGATTCGTTGTCTCCTCCACTCCAAGAGCTGATCCCATCAAACAGTAGATCACATTTGGGTTGAGATGTCTGCTGTTGTGTTGAGTCCGGAGAAAAGGGTTTACGTATCGATCAAACCATACAATCAATTGGTATTTACGGTTATTTTATCGTTTATTTCAACAATTGATTGCATTTTTGATTTGATTGACAGAAAAGTCCGAAAATATGTCTTTCGTTGGACTCAAGCGATGAGACAATTGATGGTAAAGAGGGTCACAATGGATGCCAATCGTGTCCAGTATTGAAACGAATGGTTGTCCACAAAGACACTGCCATTAGACGACTGTCCGAAGACAGGGAACAATTGAAACTGAAATTAACGCAAATTAATAATCAAAACATTGAATTAAAGCAAACGCTTAAACGATTGCAATCGCAAGACAGCGGTTCCGCTGCCATCGAAAGCAATGAGAAGTACGTGACTCTGAAGGCCAGTAACGATGAATTGGTGGCAATCAATAG